CCCCATCCCCAGGTACAGAATCCTGCTGTCACAGGCAAGGTAGAGTAAATGCCCCTTACTGGATTTGCAAGCTAGGACTTACTGAAGAACCAGCAAAATTAGAGCTTTCACCCTCCTTGGTTGTGGCCAGCTCCTGCCCCAGCACTGTGTTTCCTGGGTCTCTACTTTCCATCAGGGAGGTCACTTGTGGTCCAGGAAGGTCAGGCATGAGGATATGCTGGTTCCCACTGTGCTGCTGCTCACTATTGCCTGTTCCAGGTGCCACTGGCCAAGCTCCCATCTCACTGATCTCCAGGATATTCCCTCCCAACATATCCACACATGCTGCCCACTGGCATTCACGCTGTAAGCTGATTTCACCTATGGCAGATGCTTATAGCAAGAGAGGGAGCAGAGGGGAAGGTGGAAGCTGTGGAAGCTACTGGAGATGTCAGGTCAACAACACCTTCTGGTGAGGCAGCACAGAGTGCCCAGGCCTGAGCCAAAGGTCCAAGACAGCTGAAGCAGCAAAGAAAAGCCTTAGGGACTTGGTGACCAGATTTGGAAAGAAGAGATATGAAAATGAAATGCCAGTGACAGGTACATGAGAGTATATGGATGAGAAAGGCTTGTGGGGGTCTGGATGTTTCAGATGAATATTAACACGTCTCTCAGGAGTAGAAAGTGTAGCCCTACTGCCCCTAAAACATTTGTAACATGTGCATAGACCACACATCTGCTGCATTAGGCTGAGACTAGAGGAAAGATGTGGTAGTGGCCTCATCTGCTGCAGGGCAAAGCTCTGAAGGCATATTCAAACGGGACTTTCAGGGAGACCAGTACAGCTTCTTCTTCGAGAGAAGGATGCAATGGTACATCAGTCAAAGATAATTCCAAAGAAGATGTGGGTCTACTGCCTTTGAGAACTGGAATTGGTTAGTGGCATTATCTTTAGGGGAAGAATCCAAAATGGAAATCAGTTATGTGCCTTATAAGAGGGAAGAAAAGGGCCAGAAATTCCAGAGCAAGAGAGGATAAAATGAATCTTTGGGATTCCCATAAAATTTAGATATGGGCAAGACTAGGTAGCAGAAGCTCTTAGTATCAGAATCTCAGCTCCTGTGGCCCTGATTTCCCACCAAATCCCATTTTGGCTTCTCACCTTTCTTTTTTTAAGCCTTGTCCCTCATAGATAACCGTTCTTAATGGCCTTGTGGGTGGCTCTTTAACCCAGCTGAAGAAGGGTTACTGTGCTGATAACCTGTGTTTCTAACTGAAGACTTGAGTCTCAGTTCCTGTGGCCTCCATTTTCAAAGACTCAGTCCAACACATCCTAAATTAACTCACCAGGCAACAGAGTATGAAATCGGACATGACCGATCGATCTTTGAGCATTGATTCAAAGCAAAACTAATGGAATGTAAAGAAAATGTAAGACTCTATTGTACTGTAAATGCTGACTATTTAGCCATTTTACAAATAAAATTTCATTTGGGAGCTGAATGGAAGTGTAAGGTTTGAAGAACTGACTAAAACAAGGCATAGGGACTTAACAAACTATTGACGTACAGATTGAGCCTTGGGGGAATGGCTTTGTTAGACGCCACTGACTAGAATAATTGCATGATAATTTTGGCTAGAGGCACCATCCAATCATCTGATGATTTTTAAACCGTGCATGAATAGTTTAGACAGAGCGATCTTGCCATCCAGCTACATAGAACTGAGAAGTCCATTCAACATCTATGCTTTGGCTCTTGGGGAAAAAAAGTGTCCGAGCATTATCAAAGAAAGGTCTCTGAGACACAACAAGCAGTGCTGCATGCTCCTTCTGCAATGCTCCAAGAGCACTAACCAAGGACTTTCTCCTAAGGTAAGTGGCAGAAAAATAATTCTTCCTAGGGCAGTATGGAGCAGGCAGGTCCCATCAGACTTGAAGCAATGCAAATTCAACCCTTAAGCATTTGCGTCTTAACATTTAACTTTTCCTGACAAAAACTCTGCTTTTTCCAACCACAGCTGATGAAAACCTGGCATAAATTTAGTATAGAAATTATTTGAATAATGGCAAATAATCAGATGAACTTTAAAGAAGAAACAAAACTGAGAAATAAAGAAATTTTGTCTGAATGAAATGTTAGATTTCCATCTGGTTCTAACCGATTACATGGATAAATTTTTATTGTTTGAAATAACCATATAAAACTGCTTGGGCAGTCACAAAGGTCATCAGATGGTATAAGAAATGTCTCAGGTATGTACTATCTGCACTAAAAATGGTGTGTTAGTCTACAATGATAATAGTCTAGAAGAGGCTGTAGTACTAGAGTACTAGAATTTCTAGTTTACTAATGGACTGAATATAATGACATCAGTCATATTTGAAATTGCTCTCTTACAGTAAACTAAAATTAGTCTATTGTATAGAATTCAGTTAAGACCAAGGAAGGGGAAAAAATGGAAAAATTTGAAGCATGTTGCTATGACAAGGTTGTAAAGCAGTTTGGACTGATTTCTTAGAAATGCTGGGTTTTGTGGCTTTAAATTAACTTCTTTAATTTATACACAATGTTCACTGTGTCTGTATTTGTACTGCATTTCTACCAGTGAGTTGAGGGAAAGTGACCTGGTATAATAGAGCAACTTAGAGGGTGAATTACACCACTCCTACAATTACTGTCCTCTGTAAGCTTTTATATAGGAAAGGTAAGGAAGGAGTTGTTTAAATACTGGTAGAAACAACTTAAGAAACAAACATCTGTAAAGCCAGAGTGATATGTTTATACTCGTCTCTTGCCCTGAAGGGTTACATTCACTTTCTCCTCCAAAACAGACAATGACAGTTCCTATTGCTAGAAGAATGTTAGCATTTCATCTTTGGGATTAACACAAGTCTCCTCTCCCGTTTTATTCCTGCATTTACATTTTAGATTCACACTTGGGTTTTTGTTGTTTGGTGTTAGGATTTTTTTGCTGAATCTATCGATTTCAGTGATGGATCAGCCATTTGCAAGGCAGCACATATACCCAAAGCTCCTTTGCTTAACTGTTGCATTGCCATCATTCAGTCACCTTTCAGGAGAGGCAAGTGTCACCCATTTGTACTCAGCCTCTTCAGTATTCTGGGTGTGGGAGCTTGCTCTATATAAACCTCTACTTTCCTCTTAACTGAAGATGAACTGTTCTGTATCAGCACTTCCAAGCTTGGAAAAACAACTTTGCCATGGCTACCTTGAGATGTAATATTTTCCAGCAAACCAATCGACAGATTAACATCTTCGCGCCCACCCAGATAATGACATTGCAATAATTTGATATCTGCTCTGAATAAAATCCATATGAAATCAGAAGAAAGATTTGATATTGTTATCTAAAAATGAGGAAAATAGACTACAATAATTCTTGCTGACTTTTTTTTCTCATATGTCTTATTTCAGTGATATACATGGGAGGGAATGAGTGAGGAAATAAGATACTACGTGTGTGTGTCACAGCACCTAAGAAATTACTTGACTAACGAGATTTCCTTAAGCAGTTATGTGTGTGAAAAAGAAAGTTGATTGTGAAAATTCACATTGCAGAGAAAAAACAAATACCAGACATATAATAATAAAATCTGTAGGATGCCTATGCTGAGAATGCTGGTTACAACAGGAAAACTTTACTTTCAGTATGGATAAATACAGCCTCAAAGCAGAATTGTACTACCTGAGATCATATAATAAACCATAACCAAGTCATATCTATAATGGTGATATCACCCAACTATGCTCTCATTTAAATTTGTGTAAGATTTTGGGCATGTCAACCACCCACTCTCAAAAAAAAAAAAAAAAAAAGGGTTAGAAATTGCACTTTACTAAATGTTGTAGTTTAGTGGAATTTGGGAAGTTTTGAAAGTACAGTAGCATAAAAAATTTAAGTGCAAACCCTGAGGTAGATATGATCCTGGATGCTTTATTTTATTTATTGCCAAATTAGAGAAAAAAAAAATCCAGGGACACAACACCAAATATGCAGTGTGTTCACAAATAAACAGTCAAATACTTCACATTTAAATTCCCTACATTACCTGAAGCTCCTAAATAGTTTCCAAAGCAGCAGCTTGGAGATCAAGCATCTGTATGTAGATCAATTTCCTAGTGAATCAAAGGGATCCTGGGAAATAGGTAGTTGAAAAGATCACTGCACATTCACAGCTAAAAACATCCATATCCCTCCACTGTATACTCCCTGATTTTTTTATCTTATATGTTGAAATTAATAATTAAGACAAAGTCTTGGTCATTCAGTAACACTTTATACATAAAGGTATTAATCGTAGAAGCACTTGTTTTATTTATATTATACTAGAACTGAGGCTACAAATGTACAGCTATGTGTAAATCAGCAATGTATTTGTAGTTTTAATAAGCTGAGAGAGAAACTTGTGAATCATTACCTTGGTAGATGGGAAGATATTGGATGGATGGTACTAATAATGCTACTACCTTGGGGTAAAAAGTGAAACTTTTTTTTTGTCACAGTTACAGGACACTTCTCAAAACTTTATCCAAGAAATTAAAGTCATGAGATTATATGTTATGGCAAAACTATGGCAAAGCCACAGTCAATGTGGAATGGAGTGGGTATAGAATTAAACTGTAGCTGGCAGAGGATTTGCAAATTGGGAAAGAAATTGTCTTTGTCTTCTTTTCTACTGGGAAGAAAATAGTGTAAAACTGTGGGGAACTACAAGCAGTGTGGCTTACAGCCGAAATCAATCTCTCTTAATCTTAAAACCATCTCATATTTGCATCTTTGATCAGTAATCATGAAGTCTGAATTAATTTGTAGACCCAGTAAGTAGAAAATAATTATGAACTTCTAAGAATTCTCTTGCTGTCAAAAGAATGTATGTGAAAGATCATTATTAAAAGGAAATGAAACAAAACAAACTTAAATGGGACATTTCCAAAAGGAAACCATCCTTGTATGAAAATACCTTTTTTGTTGTTTGTTTCAGAAATGAACTTCTGACCATGGGGGACTGGAACTTGTTGGGCAGCATCCTTGAAGAAGTGCACATCCACTCCACCATAGTTGGCAAAATCTGGCTCACAATCCTGTTCATATTCCGAATGCTGGTGCTGGGAGTGGCTGCTGAAGATGTCTGGGACGACGAGCAGTCCGAGTTCATCTGCAACACAGAGCAACCTGGCTGCAACAACATCTGTTATGACAAAGCCTTTCCCATCTCTTTGATCAGATACTGGGTTTTACAGATCATATTTGTCTCCTCCCCATCATTAGTGTACATGGGCCATGCACTGTATAGGTTAAGGGCACTTGAGAAAGAGCGACAGAACAGGAAAGCCCACCTGCGGGCTCAGCTGGAAGACCTGGAGCCCATGCTCGAGGAACACAGGAGAGTGGAGAGAGAACTGCGTAAGCTGGAGGAGCAGAAGAAAGTGAATAAGGCACCCCTGAGAGGGTCTCTGCTGCGCACCTATGTCCTACATATCCTGACCCGGTCGGTGGTTGAAGTGGGCTTTATGATAGGTCAGTATCTTTTATATGGGTTTCACATGTCCCCCCTTTACAAATGCACTCGGCCCCCATGCCCTAACACAGTGGATTGTTTTGTGTCCCGACCCACAGAGAAGACCATCTTTATGGTTTTCATGAACAGCATCGCCGCCGTCTCCCTCTTCCTCAACATCCTAGAAATCGCCCACCTGGGCTTCAAGAAGATCCAGAAGAGCCTCTGGGGGCAGCCGCAGTGGCCGGCAGGCCTCGCCGAGGAGGATCCCAGCCTGTACAACTCCAAGAAGAGCTCCGTGGTGCCGCCGCCGCCCTGCCTGGCCAGCAACGCGGCCCCGCCGCGCCCCGCGCCCGCCCCGCTCCCTCCACCGCCACCCGCGCCCGGCGCGCCCGGCCCGCCGCCGGCCCGGCAGCACCGCGGGCAGCTCCGGGGCACGCCGCCGCCCCGCCGCCGGCACCACGGACAGCACCAGCCCTCCTCCAGCAGCGACGAGGCGTCGCGGGCCGCCGCGCCGGGCGGCGGGGCAGGGGCGGCGGGGGCGGCCGCCGCCTCCAGCGCCCGTCGGACGCCCCGCAGGCACAGCCGGGTGAGCGCCTGCCGGGATCTGGATCTGGAGGAGCGCGGCGATTCCCCGGACAGCGGGCACTGCCCAGGCACGCGCAAGTCCAGCTTCCTGTCCCGCGTGCTCACCGGGAGCCGGGCGGGCAGCGACAGCGAGGGCACCGCGTCCCGCGGCGGCTCCGGGCCCGGCTCCGGCTCCCGCTCCGGCTCGGAGGGGAAGCGCCGCGAGGAGGGCGGGCCCAGCCCGCCGCCCGCCGCCAACACGGGACGCCGCGTGTCCATGGCAAGTAGCGCCCGGGAAAGCCCGCGGGAGGGGGGCGAAGGGGGAGCCCCGCACCCTGTCCCGGCCCGGGGGAGGAGGAGGGGCCGAGCCAGGGGGCAGGAAGGCTCGGGCAGGACTTCCAAGGCAGCCCCAGCGCCTCGCGGCCTCCCGGGCCGTGCCAAGCTCCCAAACGTTCAGGCTCCTTTCGCAGTGAAAGCAGAAACACCAGGGAATTCCTGAGTCCTGAGGAGCTCTAAGTCACCGAATCTCAGCTTATTTATACTCATTCCATCATCCCGATCAACTCGACCGGGACTGTGCCAGGGAAGTTTCCTCAGCTCCACCCCAGGCTGACACTGTAAGAAAGAGAAGTCTTGAATTCATTGAGTTCAATGACCCAACTTCTTTCAGCTTCAGGGACTTTGTCCCAGAGGTGACCACCAAGTTCAATGATTGTTCAATGAATAAATCAAAAGATATACATGTAACCCCCCCACCAAATAATTGCAATGCAGAGACAATGACTACAGAATTGCTTTTTCAGCAGCTGTTTCTCTTCTTTGTCCACATGCTCTAGGCTTGCTTACAGTCAGCGTTGATAAGATATAGTGCTTGCACTCAAGAATCAACAAGGCTTTCTTAAAATTCTGATTTTGTTTGAATTTTGATTGCCTCAAATCACAGGTTTTGTCCTCTGAGAGCATAGAGGCTCCTTGACAAATGCTTGCAAGCCCGTAAATATCTTTTTGAAGGGCATCTAATAAATAAGCTTACTTTACACAATGATCAAAGTCATAGATTCTATTAATTTTTTTTCCTCACTCTTCCTAAAAAAAACCAAACTCACCCTTTTTCCTAAATACAAAACAAACAAAACAGAACAACCAACTAACTTCCAATCTTCTGTGGCAAGAAACAGAAGGCACTGTTACACACTGCTCATCCAAAAACTGTTTGTGGGTTTTAGTTTTCATGGAGTTACGGTTTCTTCAATAAGCCAATCAGCATAAGCCATATTAAATTGTCACTTAGGTGCAATTTAACCCCTTTCCACTTCAATATTTCTAATACTGGGGGAGGGTTCAGAGTCTAATCTGTCGATCTACTGGTTTTTGATACTCAGAGAGAAGGCTCTTTGAAAAGGTGAAGTGCAGAAATTTATTCAAGCAGGACAGAATTTCAGTAGCACCCTGTTGAGAACTCACTGAAGTTGTTTGGTAGCTTTTCCTTTGTAATGACAATGACTTCCAGGGGAAATCTTCAGAGAAATACGGTCAGTTTGCAAAACAATGTCATTACTCTAGAAAGCAACACTGCTCTGGCATGCTGCCTTTGGGGATCATTGTGTACGGGACTGGTCCTGGCATTTTAAGATGTGACTCATGTAGGTATGCTACCTGGGTGTTTCCTGCTTACAGCACATGATATTTAAAAGTAAATGTGCTTCTAAACACAACTGAGTCAAGATTTTGGCAAATGCACTTTGGCATTGCTGCAGCATTTTATGAATATCGATTTCAATACAGAAATATGCTGGTGCGTCATAAATATGTTGAACCTGGGTATTAAAACTTGGATATTCTTATAATAGTCTGTATTCCCCAGTTCCTATATTAACTATTTAATTTTGGTTGTCAAAGGCAGTCAGCATTGGTTAGATTAGTTTTGATTTCCAGAAGACAATCATCATATATAAATGACAGAATCATAGAATGATTTGGGTTGGAAAGGACCTTAAAGATCATCTAGTTTCAACTATTAGACCTAAACAATCTATTAAATTCTGAGGACAGATCACCAAAACTGGACCTTCATTGCATCAGAAAAGCACACAGCAAAGCAAAAGTGGTGAGTCATTGCATGACATGAATGTCATTTCCAACTGCTTTCACTCCACCTGAACACAATGATAAGAGCATCACTGACTATACAGATGAACTAATTTCAATTTGATATGGAGCTAGGCTAAATAATGTTACAAAACTCTACATTGACAGGGGAACTCAGCAATGGTGTACAGCTGAAGACAGGCTATCTGCAAGTCTCCAAAACCTTTGTACTGAGGACCATATCTTTGAAGCGACAGCAAACAAATTGTTCACTGATAACTGTCTCCAAGCTAATCATTTCCAAGGCTCAGTTACAGGATTCATCTATATGGTATCTTATCTTCTAAGAAATATTGTGGGTACACACATAGTTCTGGCCTAAGGTTTGCATCTCTCATCACATTTTTACTTTTATTTAAGATGAGATACATCTATGGAGCAAAAGGGGACCGTCTACATGGTCATAGGCTGCCAGCCTCCCTTAGGTGAGCAGGCCTTAACTGGCAGCTTTTCACACACAACTCACTGAAAAGAGTGGAATGGAATTCAGTATAACTACAATCACAACTGACAGCTGGGAGCTGAATTCACAAACATTTGTAGGAATTAATGCTGCTGTCAATAGGATTCTGCACGCGAATGATAGTAGGAGAAAAACCCCTCATAATTTACACCAGTAAGGTCCTTGACTGGTGGATGATACATTTTTAACCCTGATAAGATTAACAGATGGGTGCAGTCAAAGGTCAGCATATGACTAGTACAGATACAATCCATGCTCTCTTGAAAATAGGCAGGGCCAGGAATTACAGCCTATAAAAAACACCTAGTTCTTGAAGCATTGCACTAAGGGGCATTGTCTCACAGCCTCTGCATGTAAGACTGTGTGAAGAAGCCATTGGGACCATTGATAAGTCTCCTCTTCTCTCTGGAGGGATGAAAATCACATCTGAGCATTCCAACTGAATGAAAGGGGCTTTACTTCCAAAGTCACCCTTTGCCAGAATCAAGCAGTCCCCTTTCTCATCCACTTTCTGCAAACCAAGGAACGATTGCAGAACATCAGAAAACTCAGTTGAGCATGACCACATCCTGACATTGCATCTTCAGAGTGTCACAGTGTCATCCCAATTCAACAGCTGAATGCAAACATTCCCACAAAAGATGGAGGCCATCTGGTATTTCATTGCTGGCTGCACTTGAAGTCTTTTGCTATCTCTGTCTCTTCCTGCCTTTCTGAAGCAGAAGATTCCAGTTGCATGCTAACTGAGCATGTCCAGCATGCTACCTGAGCATGTCCAGCATCAGTTCTTTTCTGTCTCTATGTGACAGTCTTCTAAAGAATTCTATTGCATGCTCTAAAGCCTATGAGGTTTAATTTGGTTAACTGGGATTGTGAGTATTTACATTAGATTGCCATCATCTTTCAGATGATTTGGAATTAATTCTTACATTTGCAACCCATGAGTAAGCCTGTTAAGAGAACTACTATGCTAGTCCTCTTGCTAGGTACCAAAGGGTACCAAGAAGATGGGGGGCTTGACATTATCTAGTGGTTGTATTTCTTCATGAAGCCATGAGTTCTTAAATCAAGTTCTTAAATCACAAAAAAAAAAAAAAAAAAAAAATTGGAAGTCATCAGAAGACGTATAATGTTCTTAGCAACCAAAATTTTCAGAATCAAGATTTTCAGAAAGAATTAGGCATTTTAGGCACGACAGATTTTTGTTTTTTCAAGAAGTGCTGCATTTTCCCCACACACTCCTCCAGAGAGACCTGTGCTTTCAGTATCATTTCTTTAAGTGTATATTTTTGGCTACAAAGTAACCTAAGTATCTTTAAGAGTAAGGCCCCCTGCTGGTGGTGAATGAGATGAACGAAGCTGATAATGAAGCAAGTGGCAACGCTGAACTCAGAGCTTGCCAAATCAGTCCGAGATAGGGCTGCTGATTTTACTTGTTTGCAGAAAAGAAAGTCTCGGGGACTGAAATCCTGGCTCTGCTGAAGTTGGGAAAATTTTACAGTTCACTAGGTTTGCTTTCCTTCACTGCATTGCTTTTTTATTCCTCTGTGTTGTTCAGTTCTTTTTCTGCTTCTCAATTCTCCATTCAGGTTTGAGCCTCTTACCCACTGGGAAAACACTCCATAGTGAACAGAATTGGAAAGAGAGAGCTGCTATTCAGCCTGAATGCTTGCAGTCTTCTTCAGACCAGGGCATGTTTACTCACCCTTTCAACAACACTCGAAGAATAAATATCCACTCATTTAACTGGTTGCTCATCCGCTCTCGTTCCTGGGGCTGGGAACAGCTTGATAAGAGTGAATGTACACTGAAATAACAAACCTGATAAGCACGGAGGAGTTATTTATACTGCTGAGCTGAGCTCCACTAGGAAAATCTACAGCTGGGGTACTGGACTGGCAAAACCCTGTGTTCCTCTAGGATTTTTGAGATTCACATTTACACCTGCTGGTAACTACTGCTGGTTTTGTACAGTTTTTCAATGTAAACAACTCTTTAAAAATAAATAAATCAATCCCACAGTACTTGTATTTTATTCTGCCCTGGACTACTCAGAAGAAGCTGGTGGCGATGACAGCAAGTGTACCAATTATCATGCTAAAGGTACTTGATCACCCAAAGGCAACCGTTCACCAGTTGCAGAAACATAGATAAACTCTGGGGGGTCAGCAGCAGTTGAGCCCAGAGTTCAACTAATGAACCCCTCTGAGGATTTGTGCAGTTTTAAACAAATAAGCTGGATTTTAGAAAGTGGAATTTACTTAATTGAGTCCACCTTTGTGTGGTTTTAAAGCATTTAAAATGATACAAATCCCCTTAACAGGTAAAGCAAGGGCTCTAGGATGGGTCCACTGATTTAAAACAAATTACTAAACCACAGAATCATAGAATCAGGATGGTTTGGGTTCTTAGGGACCTTAAAGATTATCTAGTTGCAGTCCCCACCCTATCATGGGCAGGGACACCTTGCACTTGCTCAAAGCCCTGTCCAGCCCAGCCTTGAACACCCAAGGATGGAGCATACACAACTTCTCTGGGCAACCTGTTTCAGTGCCTCACCGCCCCCATAGTAAATGACTTCTTCCTAACATCTAATCTAAACCTACTTTCTTTCAGTTTAAAGCCATTACTGAAGAAAGCCCTACAAGGTAAGTATGTTGTCAGCTAAACACCAGATTCCCTTAACTGTGTGTTGGGGTTAATTACTATGATAACATTTCTTTTTCTCCTTTAAGCCAATTCAGCTTTGTACTTTCTCTCTCTTGTTATCTTTCAGAGCATGCTCCTAGAACTATCGTCTATCATGAAAAAGTAATGACACTCTAAGGAGAAGAAATAAACTAAGGGATTGAGCACAAACTGCCTTCAGCAGAGAGATAAAAGCAGGT